ATGTGGATTACATGTTGTGGTTCTTCTTGCTCATTTTTCCTTGCATCTCTCTCCCTGAAGTGATTCTTAGCCCAATCACTTAGGAATTCTCGAAGGTGGCCCTCATTGAACAAATGAGCCACTTTGTCCCTTAGTTGCCTGCAGTCTTCTATTCTATGACCATGTGTGCCATGATACATGCACATCAACTTTAGGTTTCTTTGAGAGGGATCGGTTTGAATAGGCTTAGGCCACTTGGTATCCTTAATCTTTCAAATAGCTGAGACGATCCCTAATGCATCTACACAAAAATTATATTCTGACAGTCGAGGTGCCTCCACAGAGTCGGTGTGTTTATCGAACCAATTGTTACTCATGTGTTCCCGAGAACTCTGACCTCGATCATTTCTCCGATTATTTCGATGAGTGTTACGACCCGAGCCGTTGTTCCTCCTATCGATATATGGCTGATAATGTTCTTTATTGAACCTTGATTCCCTGTCTGTATCCCTCGGGGGCTTAGCCGCCAGCCTGTTAGGATGAACTGAGCCCGAGTGGGCTCCCAACTGGTCGTCCTCGACCCTAATCTTGGACTGGTAACAATTATGCATATCTGACCACGTCATAGCTGGATACTCGATCAAGTTCTGCTTTAATTGTCGAGATGTTATCGAACTCCATTCGTTCAAACACTGCATAAAGGCCTGCACTACCCAATCGTTGGAGACAGGTGGTAACTCCATTCTTTCCATCTGAAATTTGGACATGAACTCCCTCAACATTTCGTCGTTCCTTTGTTTTATCTTGAAGACGTCTGATTTCCTCGTTGCCACCTTTATGGCCCCGGCATGTACTTTCATGAAGGCATCTGCTAACATAGCAAATGAATCAATAGAATTAGGAGGCAAGTTGTGGTACCAAATCATAGCTCCTTTCAACAATGTTTCTCCAAATTTTTTTAACAAGACCGATTCGATCTCATCGTCATTCAAATCATTTCCTTTGATCCCACAAGTGTATAAAGTAATATGCTCGTTAGGGTCAGTTTTCCCATTGTATTTGGGAATATCGGACATGCGAAACTTCTTGGGAATGGGCATCGGAGCCGCACTCTGGGGGAATGGTTTTTGTATGAACTTTTTGGCATCTAAACCTTTCAAGATCGGAGGTGCCCCCGGTATTCGATCAACACGGGTGTTGTAAATCTCCACCGTTTTGTCATTTTCTTCAATCTTCTCTTCCCCGGACTCGATCCTCTTGGTAAGCTCTTCGAGCATCCTCATAATAGCGGGGTTAGTCCCCGAGTCATTTCCGTTTGACCTCTCTTGCGCTGGTTCAGCACGACGAGTATTTTCTGGTTCAGCTATACTCGGAGTCTTATTCTGACTTTGAAGTTGAGCGATGGCGATTTGCTGAGCTTGCAGCATTTCGAATATAACCTGGAGGCTGATTCCCCCATCTCTCATTCCTAGTGCTTCTTAGCCACCAGATCGGGCTTCCCTGCGTGCATTCCCTCCGGGGTCTGTGCTTGAATCAGCATTTAGAACACTATGCGAACTGACATCAACTGGCTCCATATTTAGCACTTCCTCAAGGTGTATTGGTAGTACACCGACTATACTGCTATTTTCTCTAAGACCTTCGTTGCATGAATAGGTGTGTTTTGTGTGCTAGACATGTTTCAGCTTGAGAATCAAAAAATCTTGACAAGAAAAAGTGTAAAAACAACGTGTGTAATGAGAATCGGTAAAGAAATAATCACTATTGTCTTTAGCCCCACGGTGGGCGCCAAATTGTTTACCTCGAAAATACGAGTAACAATTAAATTTGATTAGTGGTTTTAAAGATATGTGATTTAGTTCAATACCAATTGATAATCAAGAAATATGAAATAGAAATGAAAGATAGAAGTGAATCAAACTAATATTACTTAGCAGTACTGCTTAGTGACCTCGAGATGGACTTAGAACAATAAGAACAATTAAGCAAGAAAAGTAAGTAAGAACAGTAGAGCTAAAAGATGATTTTGATGAACAGTAGGAAAAAGTAGAGAGTATAATCTTTGCTCAATGATTAGATGATCCTACAAATGATTGAGGTCCCCTTTATATAATAGGGGAATCCAAAATAAGGAATGTTTCTATTTAAAGTAAGGAATATTCTTAGTACCGCTGTCTAACCGCCTAGTACGGAATTGTACAATCCTACTCCGGAATTTGCACCATGATATTGGAGACGTGGCAGGAATCCAGCTCATTCTGTTATAAATTCATAACAGTACTATTCCGGGGTCGAGCATACTTGACCTTGATATTCCTCGAACTCCTATCTCCGAGCATTGTATTCTGTCTTCGAGCTCGAGTATGGTCCACCGGTATCGAACTCGACCTCGCCCGGATTTGGGCTTAGAATGGACCTTCGAGCCTATAAATCAGAGGCATGTGATTTTGACCGTATACACGTTGATTCCCGAACACGATCCCGACTTAATTCCTTGGGCTTTTATTCAGACTTCAAAGCTCCAAATCACTTGAGTTCATTCCATAATATCTATATAGCTCTGAATCACCCCTACAAGGCTTAAAGCGCACAATTAGTGCAAAATACTAGTGATTAAAGCTCAAACTCAATTAAAGTGTAGTAAATTAGAGTGTAATAAGAGACTAAAATATGTTATTATAGCCTATCATCACCCTTCATAAAAAACGGAGTCAGAAGAGTTGCACCGGGAAAAAAAAATTACCTACATAGAAAACGAAAAGGTACTATAAGAAATAGTATTTTCATCAAGGAAAATTAAAAAATAAAAAACATAATTAAGCAAAAAAGTTAAGGGGACTCAACATCTAATATATATACATGAAAAAAACTTTTATCTTTTATATACGATATAATTTTTGCCCCCCTATCTTTCCCCTACCTAGCTTCGCCACTGACTATAAGTTAGAGTTAGGTTTGAAGATATACACAAATAGTATTTAAATTCCTCGTTAAGTTGAATAATGAAATTTCTTCACTAGCAAATTTTTAAATAATTAATCTATATGAAAGTTGTTTAATTAATAAATTCTCTTTTCTTGATGTATAAGTTGATCAGGATTAATTGAAAGCGGATTTCTTGAATTGTGTACTGCTAAATTAACTCAATGAAGCATTTACAAATTAATCACAAGTAAAAATCATGTTACTCTAATCCGAAAAAATAATATTATGAATATTCAATAATTAACTTTACTTTAATAATTATCTCGTAAATATTTGGTAGGGTTACAAATACAGACATATATCCAACTATACAACCTAGAAAGGAATTTCTTGTCCTTGGATGTTTTCTAGCGTTTGCTCCTCTGGATGGAAAGTGCGACAACGGATTTTCTTCATTCATTATTATAGCTAAAAATTTCATTAATACACTTTATCCAACTTAATTAAAAAGAAGATTTATTTATTTGAATATGTGGGTCGTACTGAAATTATTTGATCCTTGAGCACGCGATTAAAGCTGTGGGCCTTTTTTTTTGCCTCCTTTTACCTTTTTTCTCCTTGTTATATTTCTTTTGGTTTATTAATTTCATGACTTACGTGTATCATCTTTTTCTTTTTGTTTCTTTCCATTGCAGTGATTGCTTAACTACAGTGCGGTGGTAATGTGTAATTATTAGGAAGCAGATTGGTATCGAATTACTATCTAACATGCCTTTTGTCAAACAGGAAAATGAGTAGTTACTGCATTGGCTGTGAGGCTCCAACCAGTAGTATTAGTTAGATAATTATTGGAATGTCATTAATTTTTCTTAATCTTTTTTTTTTTTTTTTTTTTTTTTTTTTTTTTTTTTTTTTTTTTACGGAAGGATTCAGCTGGTGAATAATGAGGAAGCTGAAGATAGAAGAAAGGATGATCTTTGGTGAAATTGAACATATGTATTCAATACTAATTAAGTGATGTGAAGAGAAATGCGCTCCAGTGATTACAACTATAACTATAGGAAATTGATATTTGATTTAATAGGTGACGATTTAGCTGGTTTTTTGCGAAATTTATTTCAATAGAGTGTACGATATCGATGGCCCGAGGAAGAATACTCAATGGGTTAGGATTGCCTCATTTCGCTTTACCAATCTCAAGGAAACACCGAATACAAGCATAAATCATTTGTACGGACAAAGATTCATAATAAAAAAAGAAACAATTCAGATAGTACAATAAGGCGCCTAAGTTCAACTCTAGCTCCACGGAGAACTTCCCTACCCTTGCCTTTGGTACACTTCCTCCCCTGCTTGAGCACCTCATAACTACATTTAAAGTCGTTCGCTCCGAATTCGTCCGACACTTTTTATTCAGGAATGTTTCAAAATATTGGCGTTGTTCTTTATAAACAATGCCAAGAAATCAAATTAATAGAATATACACAAGTACATTTTATCCAATTTTCATAACTTTCAAGAAACCAAATTACTAAAATATACCAAGGTCAAGTTTTCATTTGATATTTGCTTATTAAACTAAGCTTTTCTACCATTACTTTAGTGGTTTCTTTTATCATGTCTACTATATGAATCGATTTAACATCTTGAACTTCCTGTTCAGTCAAGACTCCATATCAAAAACTAGATAGTATGGAGTAGGCAGTATATGATATGGGCCTAGCCTTCACCTAATTACTGTTACGTAATTCCGGTCTATATTTAGTAAACAGCCCATCTCAGTTCTTACTCGATCAATAGGGGGGAAAGGGGGAAGTGCACAAATAGCCATTCTTAAGGCTACTATTTAGGGATTAGCCAACACTTATTTTGTCCTAAAAATCTTAATTTCAAGAGAATTCAGTCCAGGAAAATTGAACTGAAAAATTGAAATTCAAGACAAATTGGCTAATTCCTAAATAACAGCACTTTAAAGTGGCTACCTGGTGTCATTTCTACGATGAATTGGGCTATTAAAATGGGAAATTGAGAACACCATTGGTGGTCCCATAAGGGATCTTTGAGGCTCACTTCAATGAGTATCTGGAACAAAAGAATAACAACAAATTTTCACAATATTGTTTCAAATTAAACATCTGATACAAATCTCTGAATAAAGCACAACACAACAAAGCAATAAAAATGACTACAACACCCTAGTAAGCAAGATAGACAGTAATATGAAGCAGAGTCTGCACACCATCAGTTTCTTGTTGGTTAGCAGCTGGAAATGTCTTAACAGTAGCAAATCCTTTAGCATTTACATACTTTCCAGTGCCACCCATAATAGCAAGATGTGATTCCGAAACCCTAGTCCTGTGTACTCCAAAGAAAGTAAGGCTATCACTATAACTTCCACTATGAAACATCACTGTAAAAGCCATAGTCTGACTATTTCCATCTTCTGAACTCGCAACGTAAAATCCTTGTGCTTTACCAACTAGGCCAGAGTTAAGTTCATGACTTTCTGTTAATTCATCGTCGAACACTGTCAGTGTACCGAACATGAGTTTTTGGAACGTGATTCCTGATCCTAACTGAGCCATGTTTAAGGCGGGGAAACCAGAACCTCCACCAATGATGTTGTTTCCGTTGTTTTGAACAACGTTAGAAGCTGTTCCGCTAAGACCTGTGAGAAAAGGGATATTGTTGTTGCTGATGATTCCGTTGTTGTTGCTGTTTACTGGGACACCGTTGTCGACTGCTAGAACTGCACCATTTGGCTTTGCGAAGGGTACTTGTCCGCTTAACGAAGGGTTGGTTGCGATGCCAGTTACTGCTATTGCTGAAGGGTTTGATCCTCCAAGAATATCGTGCATGAAAAAGGAAAATATATGATCATCTTCACCAGCTCCACCTGCTACGGCTCCACCAGCTGTCGCAGCAGTTGCAGCAGCACTTGCACTACCTACGGGTGCTGCACCACCTGCAACCCCTGCAGCTCCTGCATCACCTACGTGTGTTGTAACACCTGCAGCTCCTGCATCACCTACGTGTGTTGTAACACCTGCAGCTCCTGCACTGGTAGGTGCTGCAGTACCAGCACCTGACCCAGAAGGAGCTGCAACACCAGCACCTGCATCAACATGAGTTGCAGCTCCTGTAGCAACAGGTGCTACAATACCAGCACCTACTCCAGTAGGAGTTGCAACACCAGGAGCCGCTCCTGCACCAACAGGAGCTGCAACGCCTGTACCTACAACTGCCCCTGAAGCTGTTGGGGCCTCGTCTACATCAGAAGCTTCTGGAGCAACGGTGGGAGTGGCGGGCTCCTCGTCAAGGATTCTACGCGCGGTAGTGGAGGCGATTGTGAGAGCTAGAATGAGAAGGAATGTAAAGATGGCTTTGAGTTGAAACTGTTTGGATTTAGAAGTTGCCATGAAAGATTGATGGAAGAGAGATGTTTTTGGCGTTTGATGCTTCAAAAATGATTCTTTGGAATTTGATGCATACAACGAATTGGTTGTGTCTATATATATGCTTAAAATGGAGAGATATTTCAACACTTTTTCAGAGTGTATGATAGGAGTTGATCATATATATATGGATTAGGTACTAATAACCTTTCCACTCCTTCCAGTGCATTAGTTGAAGATTGCAAAACCAATTTTATGTCCAGATGTTGATTAGGTAAGTAGCAGATAAAAACCAATCACTATTTAAATTGCAATTAAACAAATAAAAGTCCTAAAAATGAGATGTAAAAGCTTACTTTTAATCTTCCAATTAATTAGAAATGGAACGAAAATCTTGAAGAAGCTGAACAGCTTAAACAATTATCATCAAGTTATTTAAAGTACACTAAAAAACACTTGTAGGTGACTATCTGTAATAAGTGTTGATAACTTGGAAAATTATTCTAACAACATTATAACAAATTGTAGAAGAGCAAATTATTCTAACAACATTTTCTTACATCATAAGTATATACTTACCTTATATTCTCATTAATCTTGTTACTTGTTTATGATTCTTAAATAAAAGCACCCATTCCCTTATTTTTGAGAACTTTAATTTTTGGTGGCTGTGGTCAATTTACATATATCTATGTACCTCAGTCTATGGCTCTATGCACAAAGATGAATTAAATGCTTTTAAGCGATTTAATTATTTCTTGAGAGGTTGATTTTGTTAAACTAGGGGAAGTGCACGGTTAGCCACTAATAACACATGTACTTATTTTTAAGCCACTATTTAAAATGTCTTTAATCTTTAGCCATTGCTTTAATAAATTTTAACTACCCGGACGAAAATACCCTTCTGCTCATGTCCTTAACTTTTGAACTTAACTTCAGAACTTCAGAACTACATGTCCTTAACTTTTGAACTTGTAACTCTAAGTTCAGGACTTCAGGACTACATGTCCTTAACTTTTGAACTTAACTTCAGGACTTCAGGACTACATGTCCTTAACTTTGGAACTTGTAACTATAAGTTTAGGACCAAATGTCTTTAACTTTTGAGCTTGTTAGTCTAAGTTCAAGACCTATTGTCCTTAACTTTTGGGCTTCTTAGCCTAAGTTCAGGACCTATTGTCCTTAATTTTTGAGTTTGTTAGTCTAAGTTCAGGACTTCAGGACCTATTGTCCTTAACTTTTGAACTTGTAACTGTAAGTTCAGGACTTATTGTCTTTAACTTTTGGACTTCTTAACCTAAGTTCAGGACCAAACTTTTTTTTCTAGTACCCGTATAAAAACTAATATTCTCATCAAGGACATGACAGAATGTGACTTGTTGATTAAAACTCGACACCAATACAGTTATGTGTATGCGCACACAAGCTCTGAATTTTGCTAATATAAACAATAGCTTGAAGATAATCAATACAGTAAAGTTTGAGTTAAAGAGACAACTAATTATCAACAACAAAAAGAAGAGAAAAGTGTTTTTTCTTGTCTTGAGAATTGAGAGTTTCAACTTTGAGAAAAGCTTTCGAATTTTGTTGCCGACGACTAAGCCATCTCAACCGGAGTTCCGAGTTCAAAGAGAAGCGAGGGTTTGAGAAGAAAAGCAATGGAAGAAAAGGTAAAAGTGTCTTTTCATATTAATTTTAATAGAGTAGTGGCTATTTTGCTCAACATTAGAATTTCTGGATAAAAAATAAATACCACCTTCAATAGTGGCTACTACACGCCATTTTTACGTTAAACTACCGTAGCATATCGCCTTCCGTTTCAATTTATGTGAACATTTTCATTTTTCGAAATCCAAATTATGTCAACTTTGATCATTATTTTGAAATATATTTTTTTTATCATATTGATATGAGAAAAACTGAAATATATAGTACTTATCATATAGTTTTGAATATCTAAATTTTTAACTTTAAAATATTGAGTTAATCTAATCAAATTTAGTTTCAAAGATTAGTTAAATTGACTCTAAAAAAGCGAAAGAGTCACATAAATTGGAAAGGAGGGGTAATGTTTAGTACTTCCTCCGTCTCATTTTATGTGACACATTTTTTTAATATATTCAAAAAAGAACAACACAATTTATTAAAAATAATTTAATATTAAAACTATTATTTTACCATTAGTGAGATAATATATATTTATACAAATATTTATGACTTAATTTAGATTATAAATTTTTAACAATATTTTTTACTTTTCCTTTATAAATTCCGTGTATAGTTAAATATTTTCACATAAATTGATACGGAGAGAGTAATCATTTTCGAGATTTAGGAAAAAACTAGTAAAAATTGCACGGGGCGCCCTATTTGGTCGCCCCCATTTAACCTATACCCATTTTTTGAAATTGTTTTAACTTGTACCCACTTTTTAAATAACTTCAGCCCCATTTCTCCTCCTCCTCCTCCTCCTCCTCCTCCTCCTTCTTCTTCTTCTTCTTCTTCTTCTTCTTTTTTCTTCTGCTGCTGTTGATGCTGCTATGGAACTTCAGTTATTAAAATTTTGTGTAGACATATCTGGTTCAATGATAAGACGAAAATATTCTTACACTACTGCAGTCAAGAAATACGAATGGATCTGCAAGTAATCATTGTTTGGCACCATGTCCTTTTTCACCCTTAACTTCAGGCTAAAGTGAAAGCATTTCACCACAAATTTAGCATCTTGCCCATGACAAGGAAATACCAAGTTACTTGTGTAAGCACGTGATTTTTGCCCTATGAAAGAATTACTTCCAAAAATTCAAAATAAAACGATTTTTCTTGGTGCGCAATTTTGAGAATTTTTGTGACATTTTGGATAATTATTTATATTTGTCTGTGCATGTTTATTTGTTAAATTAATAAAAAAAATACAAAAATATGTCGCATTTGCATTTAGGATTTAATTCTACAATTAGGAATAATTAAGCTTGTTTTACAAGAATGAAAATTACAAAAATATGCATCGTTTGCATTTTTAGCATTTAATGTCCAATAGTACAATTTAATGCTTAATTATTACTTAATTGTGTGTTAATTGTTATTGGGAATTAATTTGCGCTTTTATAACTTAATTTAGTTCTATATAATAATTTAAGGATTTTTAGAATTTAGTTTTAGAAAAATAAAAGAAGAAAAGAGAGCAAAAATATAAAGAAAATCGGAATTGAGCTCTTCTTCAAATTCAAGCCACAAGCCCAAAAAATACCCAACCTTCCCCATGACCCGGTCCACTTCAAATCGGGTCGACCCAGTCCACTTCAAACCGGGTCAACCCAGTCCATAACCCAAATGCCCAACACCCCTATCTTCCTACCTTATACTTCACAAAACAAAACAAAAAAAAGAAAAAAAACCACAAAACTTAAACTAAACCCATCTGCCACCCCCTCTCTTCTTCTCCAAAAAACCTTCACCCCAAACCCTAGCCAACCATGGCTGCTCACCTTCACACACACGCACAACCCCTCCATCGACTGCTCTTTCCCCCGTCATCGAACCTCCATATCCACACCAAACGACCCTGCTGCCACTACTTCGTCTTCTCCGTTGTCGAGCTTGAGCTCGACATCTATGGCTGCTTCAAGACTGCTGCTTCGTCGTCGTCACGTTAGCTCCCTCCTGTAGCTTCCTTGCCTTCACGTTGTCGATTGTGTCGGAGGATTCGACCTCAACAGTGATGGTCTTACCCGTCAGGGTTTTCACGAAGATCTGCATCTTCGTTGTTCAATAGCAAAATGGCATTATTGTGCTTCATCTTCTTCAGTTGTTTCCTAGCAGCTCCATCACGTCCAAACAAATCCCATGGCTGTTGGTCGATGCCCCTAGCGCCTCCCTTCTGCTGCTTATGATGCTGCCTCGTCGCCTTTGCTCCGAAACCAAGCTACTTCTGCTGCTCCTGCTGCAGCCTCGTCGAGCAGCTGGTTCGAAACCAAACCCCATCGCCACCCTCACTTCCATACATGACCAAACAAACCAGCCACCTCCCCTCCTTCTCTTCTCCGCGAGCACCAAGGCTGTTACTTCCTCGTCGATCTCCAGCAGACCCAAACATCTCACCTTTCATGCTGCCTCGTCGAGCAGTTGGTTCAACAACGAGACTCAACCATCTCGTTTGTTCGAGCTTTGGTCGGGGTTTGTCGAAACAGTACATACACAGCGCATCGAGGTTGCCATTCGAACCCAGGTTCTTTGTTTGTATTGGAGAAAATTTGTGTTCATGTATTTTTTTAAAGTTTGTTTCTTTTGAATTTTTCAAGTATGTTCATAATGTCGAGTGTTTATTTTAGTTTGAATCATTCATCTCTGTTATGATGTTGTTAGATTTAATTTGAAGTTCAATTGTTTATTGAAGTTTAGTGATTTGAATCTATTTGCTTGTTATGATCAGTGGTTATGTTTGCTAAATCTGAAAGTAGGAGTGTTGTTAAAAATTGTTCAGTCAAAATAATTCCTGTTTTTGTTGTTCATCATATGATTTTAGTTTGCATTTCGTTTCCGTTAATTGTGATTCATGTTGTTCCAGTTTATTTTTGTTGTTAATATTGTTGTCTCCTTGCTCATCCATTTTTGGTCTAAGTTAACCAGGATTGGTTCCCAATATGGTTAATTTATTCCCATTAATTTGAAGCTGTATGATTCATCTGTGTTCATGAGATTTGTTGTTGAATTTGTTTAGAAATTGGTCATATTTGCTGTATTTTGGTTGAGATTGATTAGGTGATTGGTTATAGCTGATGGGGTAGTTTGGTAAATTGCAGTAAGGTCGGAAGGGTATTTTTGGAATTGAACATTTGAACAATTGTTTAATCTGAATGCTTTGTCCACTAGGCATTAACAATATTAAAATAATACATTGTGGGGGACAAGACATGTAATTATGGAGTTGATATAATTGTTTAATATAGTGAGGGACAAGATATAATGCAGTGGGGTGAGAATAATGTAATTATTTATGTTAAGCATGGGGGACAAAACATGTGGGCATGGGGGACAAGAGTTTAAAATAAAGAAAACATTAAGTAGTAGGGACAAAGCATGCAATTGGGGGAATATTTCGGGTTGGGGATTCAAGAC